TATATATATATATATATATATATATATATATATATATATATATATGTGTGTGTGTGTGTGTGTGTGTGTGTGCATGTGTGTGTGTATATATATTTCCTACTTCCAATCGCAACTTCATTTTTATTTAGGAAATCAAAATCATTTATTTGGGAGATCCCAATCAAATCTCAGAACGTTTTCTATGGTTGGAGTTAGAATGGGTTCCCCAATTGGTATCGCAATACGATACACCCATTTGGGACAAGTTTGAATACTTGGGAAGATTTGGGAAATTTCCATGCGGGTATCTCTATAGTGCATGTAGTAAGTTCTTGGGGAATTTCTATGCGGGCTATTCTGACGGAATCTGAAGGGAGAATGACGAATGAAGATGACTACATAGTTATAACACTTAGTTATTATTCCCGGCGCCATGATGGTCGAAGAAACTAACCGGTGGAAACATGTACATTGTGTTGCAGAGGACGAGCACCAACGTGTGGGGTGAATGGATGGGCGTAATGCACGGTGACGAAGTGGAGTATGTCTTCGGGCATCCGCTGAACACGTCTCTGCTGTACACCGACAAAGAGCGAGACCTGGCATTGAGAATCATCCTCCACTACGCGCAATTCGCATATTCAGGGTGTGTATAGCGCAGGCATAAGTCGCGCACTTTCATAAGTAAGGGAAACCGGGGCTAGATGTCCCATATTTCGGAATTTCGAAGTCACAGTTTCTCAGACAATTAATTGTGACTAATTATACAAACGTGATAGAGACAATTTTTTAAATATGTGTTAATATCTGCTACGATCCTATTAACCGTATCTTTTGTTTTGTCATAACAAATGCAAGCACGCAGCAACGTGGTGTCCTGATACTTTGGGTTCAGTTGCCTAGTAGTGCAGAGTAGGAAGGCTACATATAAAATATGTATTCTAGTTAGCAATTCTGAGGTTTTTGCGAGAAGTCTCCTCACCTCTCCTGTCGGTCTTTAATTATGGGCTCAACTTTATTTCGTTTATCTATATACTCGATTTCAGTCATTTTAAAAATAAAAATTGTTTCTATTATCTGAAACAGTATAACATACATTTGCAAGAAACTTCATTCTAATTATTAACACTTTACTTATCATTATTCACTCACGATGAAGATTATAATACGAATGAAATATATAATGCCAATACAAAATTTCAAGAGGCTTGAAAATTGACTTTACTGTGCTATTACTACTACTTATTACTATTACTAAATAAGTTTTCTTTATTTTTAACTGTAATATTATTCCAATTTTAATGAAACTCAGAAAATACTTATGTCTTAAAAGGACTATTTCACAATTTTTCCACTGTTTCTCCTTCCTTTCAAAATAAATACTAAAAAAAAATATATGAGCAACATATCCCTGGAGTCATCCAAACCCAATCTGCTCTGCATACATAGTATGCAACATCGATCGATGCAAATAAGAAGAGTGAGCGGGCGTATCGAGACCAAACTAACTTTCGAAAAGATTGCAGGATTACGCGGCTTGTATGCTCATTACTAGTGCTGTCAGTATAATCCGAGTAGGATCCAAACTCACGAGTACTAGCCGTGTATCCGAACTCACGAGTATACAGACCAGCATAATAATCTTAACACACGAAGTTATCCTTCTTCTAAAGCATGTAACGCGTGTATTTATTGTGCGGAGAATATTATAGTGTTTTCTCATACGAAATTCTCCTCTATTTTATCCGTTAGTTTTATTGGCTGTATTTAACTTGTTATATGCAATTGGTTATGTTCTATATGTTGATTAGTAAAACGCAGTAATACTATATACAAAAAGAATATTATAACTTTTTTCGTATAAAATTGTTCTTCCGATTTTATTCTCTAGCTTGTTTTATCGACTTTTTTTTCTAGGCTATATATTTAATTTATTATACACAATTACGTTATGTAATTGGTTACGTTTTATACATTAAGTGATACAATGTCACGATATTATACACGGAGAAAATATTATAGTTATTTTCATGTATATATGGTGATTTAGAACAAATTTTGACAAATGGTTCTTTCTGAGTAAAAATTACCATATGAGCATAGATTTATTTTTAACACAAAAATTTTTCGATAAAGTTGATAGAATTCGAGTAAAAAATTATCAAAACCAATATTTTTGTAGATATTTTATAAATATCTTAGAAAATAGAGATCATATAAAAATTTTTTTCAAACAAAAATTATTAGTTTCTTTATGTAAAATAAAATTCCGTAATGAAAAGTATATGTTTTTTTTATAAGCAAGCAAAGTTGATCTCAATCTGACCTTGGCGACGCCACCCAAGGTCAAACCAATGATACCTTTTTATGTCTTTCGTTGAACCATATAACTTTTGTTTGAAACATTTTTCCATATTTTTTTTACATTTCGAGATATTTCAGTGTAAAAGTTAAAATGGGACAACTTGTATAAACATCATTTATTTACAGTTCAGTTTCGTAATAAATGCTCAAAATATGCTCACACACATTATGAGCTAGAATGTACATATTGCATTGATAAAGCAAAAAATCGCGTATACACGATATGGTACATTATTCATACGAATTTTATTTGATATATCAATAATTCTTAAATTGTTCACAAGTCTTTATTTCAACACTGTACATAACTTATGCTGATTTCTCTATGATTACTTACGTATGATTTTATTACATTTAATAGCAATAAAATTTTAAAAGTTTTGTAACTATATACGGAAATCTTGAGAATAGGATCCATGTTCATATAACATTTTTTAGAATAATTTCCCAAACAATCTGTCAAACTTTATTACACTCATTCTGAATCATCCTATATGATATTCTTTTCAATGTTACCATATTTCCTAGTAATCAGTATAGAGAATGTAAATAAAATAAATAACATATATAAAACAAAATGTCTAATAAATTCAGGCAGAATGTCAATATGTTCCTTACAAAATTACAACGTTCTATAATAATGTTTGCTATAGAATTTTCTATTCGTGTATTGGGGAGTTCTAAAATAGTAGAAAGATTATCGTGCAAAATGCCTCGTGTATGAAGATTGTACTTATTTTAATTAATTTTATTAATTGGCAACTTTTAATTAAAGTAATCTTTTAACCTGTTATAAACCAGATTAATTTTATCAGCCTTATCATCCATGTCGCTTGGGTAACTGATGGCTCAAGTTGTCATGTTATATCTTTCTGCTAAATAACATATATACCATAATACTAATGAAAGTATTTCATTATACCTGAAAGTACCTGATTATATTTCGTCTTAGAGCTAACATAACTACCTGAACTACATAAACGACCTGAACATAAAGTTTAGTATGGGTCACCGGTGCCCACGCGGCGTGAATAATAAATTACTGATAAGGTGAGGTTTTAATTTAAACCGCCGAAAAAATAGCAGGTTCCCATGAATTTTTTCCACAAGGAAATGAATAGAGATATTAAAATAAAAATATTTGATCATACTATTTAATAAATATTTGATTATACTATTTATTATTGTATTGTATAAGAAATTATTTTTTTATTTACAAGAACATTGAAACTTTGTCGTTCAGGTTTCTTGTGCTGAGCGCGGTATTGCTGGACGTTTCTAAATAGTGGACAACAAATTACAATTTGTATAATAATTTCACACAAATAGAATAAGAGAAAAGAGTGCGGCCAAAGTGTTCTTCCAATCCACTTGGCGAAATGACGAATTGAAATAGATACCAAATGAAAGATCTCGTTAAGCTGAAAACAAATATATAAGTTTCATTTTGCATCGATTTTCCGTTCCAAAGTTATAGGTTTCCAATTCAAAACGGTTTCTAAAAAATATGAAAGTGTTGGAGTTTTGTGGCGTATAAGGACTCGTTTGAAAACTTATGACTTCTACCTTCTAGTGAATAAAACATCGCATCAAAATGTCAACAAAAAATCGAAAATCTAAGTATTCCAATTGGATTTTTTGTACATTTGGTTGGTTCTTAACATGGAAAGTATCACTAATCGATTCCTCGTATACAAAAACAATAAGTAACATTTAAATCTGCTTAAGTGTACAGAAATCATTTCTATGCATTTTCAAAAATGTTAACTATACGTAAAAATATATTGCAGCAAACTACCATAATTTCCAGTTTTTTATTGATATTTTGATACAATTTTTTATCCACTGAAAAGTAAAAATCATAAGCTTTCAAGTGCTTATACGCCACAAAACTCCAACATTTCATTTTTTCTTTTTTTAATTAGCTATTTTAACCTTTTATTTCCCTAACTAGATTGAGAGAACATGTCCAATGCCCAATTTAGCCGGACTCTTTAAAAACTACATTAAATTTGCTGGAGGATGAGCCTCTGTTATATTCAAAAAGTCGAAATTTAACAAAATGGCGGTACTTGGAATTTATAATTTTTTCTCTTCCTTTCTTTTTTATTTAGTGTGTCCCGGAAAAAATACTAAATTTGGAAATTTTTCAAAGAATTTAGGTTCATTCTTCGACAAATTTAATGCAACCCTAAATTTTTTAGTCCCATTTATTTCAGATTATTACACATACATACATAAAAGAAGACTATCTTTATCATGTTTGTACTGTCACAACAATTAGTTGTCTGGAAAGTTGTACCTTCGAAATTCTAAATATGGGACATCTAGCCTTCACGTTCCTCTCGTTTGTACATAAAAGTAAATTAACCCATTAAGAGAAAACCGCTAAGGATAAGCTTTCAAAAACCATCTAAATTAAGGAAAAACGTCGAAATTTGTTAAAAAGTGAAAAAAAAATTTGTGTTGGATTTCAAAATTCAAGAGAGAAAATTCAAAATGGCGGACCAATATGTCGGCCCGAAAATTTAAAATTTTGACCTATTTGAGTGAAAATCCGTATAGGAGAGGTTTTGGGTTCGCTGAGTATGAATATGCACTTATTTTTTCAAAATTTTTTAAAACGTACTTTCATTGAAATAAATCAAAATTAAAAAATAAAAATTTTCGGCCGCCATATTGATTTTTAAAGTCAAAAACCCATTTTTCTTCTAGAGTCTGCTAAAGTATAATGTTTTGCCCCAAAACAAACACCTTCGAAAGGTAGCTTATAATTTTGTTGGATTTTTCGCCAAATAATAAAACTATGTCAAATTTTCGCATTTTTAGGCGGCCATATTGGATCCGCCAGAATTTTGAAAAAATAAGTGCATACTTATACTCAGCGAACCCCAAACTCCCTTATACGGATTTTCACTCAAATAGATCAAAATTTCAAATTTTCGGGCCGACATATTGGTCCGCCATTTTGAATTTTGAAATCCAACACACATTTTTTTCACTTTTTAACAAATTTCGACGTTTTGCCCTAAATGGTTTAAATGGTTTTTGAAAGCCTATCCTTAGCGGTTTTCTCTTGGGCCTTAATGAGTTAAGGTAAAACCAAAGAAAAAAAATGTATGTTTTGCCAATTATTTCATATTTTACTTTGATATACCTTGATATAAAAATTAAATTACTAAATATTCTGAAAAATATATTTCGTTAACCCCTTTTTTTTAACTTCAATACTTTTCTATATACAATGATTTAGGAAACGACTAACGGAACAATAAGAAATAA